ATACTTGATGTTGATAATGCTACCAAGACAGCTCATTTGTGTATTTACATTCCTATCCTGTTCTTCTTGCTCATTATTTTCATAATAATTCAAACTGCTTTATCGGTACGGTATAAATTTTGATCTTTAAAAAATTTGTTTCGATCTTGACCTTAAAAGACTTGAAAGGAAAATAAATATCTTGATCGTGTGCAAGATCCATCTTCGGACTCTTCGTTTCATTTGTCAGCGGTGCAGGGCTTCTAAAGCGAGCTTTTTAAACATGTTACTTTCACTCGACGACGAATCTGGAATCTCGCGCGCGAATCTTGTATTACTTCACCGATGTCGCAACTACCTCGAGACCGCTCAAGGCCGCCCGACTATGCCCGGTCACGTCGCGGCCTCTTTCTCGATTCGACCGCCCCGCGTCCTTTCGCCCCCTCGACATCGCCCACCCACAGACGCGAGGAATGTTTAATATCAGATTTCATGCGGGACCACGCGCCGAGGGTCGTCCTGCCCAGGTGAGCGACGGCGCTCATCACGCAGGCGAGCCACGTGAAGGTCGATATCAAACGCGACAGCGACTACAACGTCGTCGACGACGATGGCTTTGTTATCGCGTGGCGTAAACCCCGCTGAGAGTCTCGCGAGCGCGACCAAGTTCCGCGCTGCGAGCTCCGTGGCTCCTCCGCGGCTTCTCCAGCCTCCCTTGCAACTGTAGGAACATCTTATTATTTCCAGCCGGGGTTTCTTTCGCTGCTGCGCGCGGTTACGCTCGCCCCGGCTGTCTCTCGGCGAGCCGCTCTCTCGCCAAAGGACCACCAAGCTCCAGATTGCGTCCGAAAAAATTTGTTCCCACGTGCGAACGAGCGAACGAGTGAGCGAGCGAGCGAGCGCTTGGTAGTTTCCAAAACGATTCTCGACCCGGAAAATCCGACAGAGAACGGCGTCTTGCTTGCGAAAGCCAGCCCTGAGGTCTCTCCTCTCAAGTCTCCTTCGCTCTTTCTCTGCTTTTCTCTTCGTTCGCTTGCCCCATTCCTCCTGCCACAAAAATAAGAGCGCGTTTGGCGGTACGTACGTCGCGTTTTTCTTAAATTAGAATCTCGCCGCGACGTGAGCGAAACCTAACCCAGCGGTTCTTCCGTGGAATGCGACGTCGTGGATCACCGAAAGTGTATTTGAAAGCAATGTCTGTGAAAGGCGCGTGTCGGGATATGAAAGTAAAGTGGCTAATTTTTTTTTATTGCTTCCAAAATTAATTTTTCTTTTACGTCAATCATTAAAAAGTTGGCTAGGTAGCTTAAAATCAAAATTACTTCTTAAGAAAAAAATTATTTTTATAAGTATGAAAAAGATAGTAAAAATGTTAGCGCATTATTCTCGCGTATAGTTTATTGTATATTCTGATAATTTGGCTTAATATACTTGTGTGTCGGGTGTTGCCGAAATCGCAGTTACGCGTCTCTGCGGGGAGACTCGGATATCTAGGATGAGACGCCGCTTTTCAATGCCGATGTATCAGCTTTCAATTTCAATAATTATATAACAAACGTTATATCGGCGATTATAATGCCAAATGAAATTAATTCGGACATTACGAATAACAGTGGAATTTTATTTTTTAATTAATTCCAAATAAACTTTAATGGAATTTCACTCGCTCAATTAACCAGATAACTAGCGTGAAAAGATAAGATGGAAATAAAGAAAATGAAGAGAGAGAGAGAGAGAGAGAGAGAGGAGAGGGGAGGGAGGGAGAGAGAGAGATGGCACGCAATAATAAGCCTCTGTTGGATTTTTAATAAGAAAATGAAAATTTTCTCCCCGAATGACACGAAATCGATACACAAATTAATTATTCGATAAACTAAACATCGCGCCATGGACAGTAGACTTTTTCGCCATCGGCCGCGTACAATCCGTTTGGAAACTAATTGCTGAATTAATTGTTACTTCGTTATCAGTTAAAAATATGCTGACGCGGCGCATAACACGGCATATACATTTATTTAATATCCACACCGTGCGTTCTCTGCGCGTTCTCTCACCCCTGTCGCACTTTCCCTTTTCACCCTTTCGAGACTGCTAAACTGCAGACATTTACGAGATGGCCATGCGTTCATTTGATTTACTGCAATAATATGCAAATAGTCGACATAAAAATACACACCAGTGTAATTTAATCACGCAATGACGCGTTTAACATTAATTACTATGGCTTTCCCTCGCATTCGATACGCGCGTTACCCAACAATTTTACGAAAAAGAGCGAGAGAGAGAGAGAGAGGAGGAGGAACAAGGAGGCGAAAGTTAGAGAGATAACACGCGGCCAATCTTGCAGAAATTGCATCAAAACGAAGTTATTTTGCCGCACGTAAAACGACAAAACGAAGTTTTCGTAGCGCGCTGCGCCACGCTAGGGAAGAAAAAAAGAAATAAAAATTCGCGCAAGAACGTGCTGGAGAATTCCGCACGCGAATGCGGCACAAAAAGGCGTACACCGGGCTGCGGGGGTGACGGAGAAAACTCTGTAGCCGCCGGTATAGCCGTGAATCCGTGCACGTTGCTCCCGTGTGCGTGATTCTTTTTCGTTTCTTCCTGCATATATATACATTTATATGTATGTGTATGTGTGTGTGTGTGTGTGTGTTATTTCTTGTTGCGCTGTCCGGGCCGACTACCGAGGTAAAATGCAACGACAGAAATGGTTGACACCGAATTTGCCGGAGTGGAAGCATGCGCGACGACGACGACGACCGTGATGAAAATGCGATTTAAAATTTCGCGAGGGGGAAAAAGGATCGTCCGCGCGGGGAAGCAATAATTCTCGAAATACGCCGTCATTTTTCAATATAGGAAACAAACTACAGGAGATTATTCTCCCAATCTCCCAGTATCGTCCGCGCGCGTACGCTGTCGCGGAAGCCCGAGCGTTAATTTCACAAAATGAACAAACCTGCACGAACAGAGCGCGAGTAGTAATAAAATAAAGAAGAATAGGATAAAATCCGACGAGAAAATACCGTGTACGCAGCGTCGATGCGCGCCTCGCGTATGCAAGCTAATCCTCATTGGTGAATGCATTTCCCCGTAATTATTTATAACAAGATGAAACGCAATCCCCTTGCCGGTGTGCGACAGGAGAACAGAAAGAGGAAGGGGGCATCGAGCGGGAGGAAGGAGAGGGGAGAATACAGCAAGCCGGCGAACGACCTCATAAGGGACCGGTGAAAAGCATATCATATCGTTTTTCGTTAAAGCACATTATTAAACACCGCGAGAATGACGCGGTATAATTACGCTATCGAAAGAACAAATAACGGCAGTTTAATTACGCAATTTTTGCGTATAAAACAGCCCAACGACAAAAGCGTAATGCAATACGTTTACACGACGCGAAAGCTCCGTTGGTCGCTCTTTCATGCGATATCGCACTGATAATAAATGGGGGAATGTTATCTCGCACGCTTACGAGACTGGAAGAGAATATGTGCGTGTGTGCGATGTAACTGAGAGAGAGAGAGAGAGAGAGAGAGAGAGAGAGAGAGAGAGAGAGAGAGAGAGAGAGAGAGAGAGAGAGAGAGAGAGAGAGAGAGAGAGAGAGAGAGAGAAAGAGAGAAATGAACACATATATACATACATATACATATGACATATTCATACACACATACACACACACACACACATCCTTACGCGTAGCGAACTTCGCGTATCCTCGTAACATTCTTAGTGAAGTTGTACGTCAAAGCGCATATAGGTTAATTACGCGCTCCACATATGTTCTCACGCGTCTATCTCGTGCGTAAACGTTTTGTAATCTTCTCCTGCTCAAAGGTAGATCTTCGCGCGTACCTTATGCACGATTAGCTTAATCCCCGCGCATAGACGCGCCTCCGCTCCCTTCTTGAGAAAAGCTTCGCTTCTGTCTCATCCGTGTCACTTTCTGTGTATATGTATATATATATATACATATGTGTGTGTGCATGTGTATATATATACGCGCGCGTTTAGACACTCGTGAAAATTAAGAACGCGAATAATAAACAGCGAGCGAGAGGAGCGCGCGAGAGGAGTCCTCTAATAATAAACTACGTGAGGATGCGCCGCATGCGCAGGGCAGAAACGCGCTCTCTCGCTCTCGGCCGGCGAAACGAATCGAACTCGACCGCGACTGATACAGAACGATATAGTACGGCCATAACCAGCAGCACCAGCAGCCATAACGTGTAATGATATACAAGAGGGATAATAGCGTCGGAAATAATGTTATAATAACAATTATATTAATTGCAAGCGTAATGCCGCGGTAATCATGATACCGTCGCAGTGCGTCAAATTTCAGTGCGTATTGCGTCCAACTACGCGTTTCCGTCCGCCGTCCGATATGTTTTCGGGTGAAAAAGCAAAGAAATAAAACGAGCGAGCGCCAAAAAGTGACGCAGAAACGGGTTCCGGATTATTTGAAAATGCGGATTTCGGCGGATTCGGGAAAACACTAAAGTGAAAAAGAGGAGAAAGATAAAATACACGATACGTAACAGGAAAAACATACCGCGCTAGGGGGGCGAACGTTATTTGTCTCGAGTATCTCGTAAATTTATGTACGCGCGAATCTATGATGAGTTGCATACAATACAAGCTGAATCCAAGTGAATGCAGTGCCCCAGTCGGGAATATTGGATCGAAACAAAAATGTTAAATTAAAAACAAAAATTCGGCACGTAAAGAGAGTACAAGTTCCATAAATATTTTCCAAGAGAGGAAAAATTCTTCTTTTGAATATATAATAATGAGCTTCTGCAAGACTTACCATTGAATATATTTTTAAACTATTCTCGAAGAAACACTCTTGCTTGAAGGTAAGCATTACCTGAAAGCAGGAAAGTAATCGCTTTCCTTAACAGCGGAATGACATTTTTCTCTTTGCGAGAACGCACGCGTAATATTTTTCATCTCTCGCGTCATGAAACGGTGACTTAAAAATTCTCCCCTTTTCTCTGTGTTTCTTCCCGCAGACGTGGCGCACGGCAACTTCACGCCCGAGGAGGCACCGACGACCGAATCGCCGATCCAGAGTGACGTCTTCGTCGAGAAGAACGGCGCCGCCGAGGGCGAGCTTCCGGTCTCGACGGCGAAGCACGACGACCCCACGTACATGGCGGTCGTGATCGGCGTGCTGACCGCGGTGATACTTCTGCTGGCCGTGGCGATATTTCTGATTGTCTCACGGCACCGGCAACGCAAGTGTTTCGCCAGCCCGATGACCGGCAAAGCCCCGTCCCACCTAGGCTCCACCTGCGCCACTGTCGAGAAAGGCGCGGCGCTGATGGCGTACACCTTGGAGGACGACGAGAGGTAAAGGAATTACCGACCGCCTCGGTAATAAGTAATGTAAAAAGAGAGAAGCAACGAGCAAGAGGGCCGGTGTAAATCGCGTCTTTGAAGCGTCTCGTTAAAAATTCGTGTGCACTTTCGCGCAAATCCGCCGACGGCATCGAATCCCCGTCCGTGATTTACTCGGACGGGAATCGCTGATGAGAGACGAAGGGAGGAAAGTCCGAAATCAGAGATTATTTCAAGACGATCTTCGCCCGATGTTGACAATCGTTAACCTTCTGAAATGATGTCTGCTAATTTGACAATAATTAACATATTAGCCACCGACGATAACAGATTGGCCAACTTTGAGTGATCATCATTATTTTCTACCGACGTTCCCCCCCCTCTCTCTCTTTCTCCCTCCCTCTCTCTCTCTCTTTCCCCCCCTCTCTCTCTCTCTCTCTCTCTCTCTCTCTCTCTCTCTCTCTCTCTCTCTCGTTTGTTCGTTATACAGCCGCTGCATGTCTAGACGAGCGGGCACACAGAAGTTGGCGAACACGCTCCTGCTTTTGCATCGCGAAACGCGATGCTTAACGATAATACACGAGAAAACATGCCGCCGTCGGACCGTCGCCAGGCAGACCGTCGTGCTCCTCATTTCTTCGCGGAGTTTGTGTTCGCGCAGGACACGGCACGATGACGGAAACGGCTTTCCAATAAACTTTCCATCCACCGTGCTCGTTAGCGAACGTCCAATAACGTCCAATAACGGACATCCTCGGGCAATATATCGAGTTTGTGCGGCACACGAATGTCTCCAGAGGAGAGATTCTCCGGCAGCAGCAGCCGCCGCCGTCGTCGTCGTCGTCGTCACCGTCGCCGCCGCCACCGCTTCGGTAACTTGGAAGCATCCCGCGCGCGCGAGTCAGCTTCGGCATCGATCCCCCGGAGCAGCCTCGGCCGCTTTGTGCAACCCGATATTGCAGCTGCGAGCTTCTCTACCAAAAGAGACCATGTAACGTGCAACTTGAAGTAGTCGCGCGCTCGCGAGCGCGAAAACGCCGGCTTTGCGCGCCGGCCTTTGACGGACGCCCTCTTTCCCCCTTGCCGTGTACAAAATTCGCGAGCGGAAAATATGTTGTCTCGAAACACACTCGGAATGCGTAAGCGAGAAAGAGAGAGAGAGAGAGAGAGAGAGAGAGGCACGCACGTGCGCGCCTCGCGATTTCTTCCACGAGCGTGTGCGATGCGAAACGCAATTCGCTATTGGACGGGCTTTTCTGCATTTCTTCTCACAATTATTTCATTTCCTCCCTTTTCTGCCAAGCTACTCCGAATGTGTACTCCGCGTTTCCTCGAGTGAAATTTCACTCGAAAAACGGAGCTCGAAGTCGAGTGACTTGTCCGCTCTGAAACGTCGAGCAGCGACATTTTTCCGCGAGGCTGAAGATCTGATATATTCTACCGTCTCATAGAATTTGATTCGCTGTAATCGGCCGAGAAAGTCGGCTCGTAAGGATTACAAGTCCACTTCAAGTTCGAGCGGGACTTTCATTCTCGCGACTCCGCGAGAGTGGCGGTGTTTTCACTATCGCTTCCTGAGAATTTTCTTCCCACGAATTTTCGCTCCGGCAGATTTCAAGAGAGTTCCCTCCTGCGAACGGAGAATAGAATCAGGCGGTTGCGATCGCGATTCACAGAGCCTCACGCACCTCGACGAAGACTCCCAGCTGACGAATCGACCAGCAAGCCCCTTTCGCTTTCAGGTACGCGGGCGGCTCGTTGCCGACTCTGCCGCGCGACCTCGGCAATCGTCTCCTGGACATCGTGAAGCTGGACGACTACCAGGAGCCGTACCAGGCGCTCAAGTACGCGCCCTACTACAGCTACAGCACCGTCGTTATGGAGATGAAAGACATGATGCTGAACAACAAGAGCACCAACATCAATCACTCAGGTATGCGACGTTCGTACACATCTCCACGCACATCCGCCCACACCCACCGACGACTACGCGTATTACGCGTACCTCGCGCGCGACCACGCACTTATGCGGGAACATACACACACACACACACACATACAAATGCATAAACGCATACGCAGAACGGTTCCTGTGCACCCACACACGTCCCGGCAACAAAGCATTCGCCCTGACCGCAATCAATACGCCATTCCCTTCTGCGCTCGCTCCTCCTTTGCTATATCATCCGCAGCGGTGTACGCGAACGGTGCAGTTGACACGTCGTACGATTATGCGGTACCGGAACTCGGCACGGTGCCTCTGCTCAATCAGGACGCCGGCGCCGGCCGCGGGGCGACCGTCTCCAACGCCAGCGGCGACCAGGACAGCCTCTTCTCCAAGAGTTCGCGCGGCACCAAGACCGAGGACAAGAAGGTGAGGGAGAAACATTTGCGCGCACAAGCCTTATCTCTTCCTCCCTGCTCTTCCTCTCGAGGGACCCGATGATCCCTTTCCCGTCGTTGGATCTCGCGGTGTTACAAAGTGAGGCGAGACGCCGACTATCCTCGCGTCTCGAGTTTCCCAGCGCGCGAGTTTCCGCCAGCGGGAGAGAAAAAATGGCTAATCTCACACTGAGAATTTTCCGTCGAGATTTAATTTCCTGCTTTCGGCGCCAGTCTTGCGTCTTCTTGTCATTTTGACAAAAGGAAACTAGCAACAGCAATATGCGTATTATGTTACTGTCAGCAACGCTACACAGCAACGTTCGCTACGAAAATAACGGGGAGAGGGGAGAATACCCTGGTAACAATTATTATGGTTTGTAAAATTCCAGTCCCTTTCGAGGCCAATCATATTCTCTCGTGGTTCCAACGAATGTTATTTCAGTGCGCAAATATAGCCACTGATATCAAACAATTTCTTCGCCCTGCGATAGAACGGAACGAAACTCTTCAATAAACCGCGCGATAACGTCGGAGTATCGCGAGAGTATGAGAAGTTAATCGAGGAGAGTCCGGGAGAGAAGTTAAATTTGTCAAATTAAAAAGAATAACACAACGACAAATCGCACGAGCAGACTCGCGTTATTTTCGCGGAGCGTCTGTCCTCGGTATTGATCCACTTTGTTAGTGTAAATCAAATCACTCGTCGTCGACTGTGACAAACGACGCAGCGCGAGAAATCGCGACACCTCTGATTTTCTATGATTTATGTTCGTCCGTTTATCCGACGTATGCGCAATATCGCGCGAGAACGGCGAGGAGCCTAAATTAATCGCGAGACCGAAGGAAAGAGCGACGACGTTAAAGTTCACGGCTCGGCTAATCCCGGCGCGTGCACTGTATAAATAAAGAGGGTTGCCCGAGGAGGGAGGAGAGAAAAAACAGGGAGAAAAGAGAAACAGAGCGTATATCGTCGGAGTCGAAGCGGTCGCCATTAAGCTCCGCTCGGGCGCGCGCGCGCGCGCGGAGGAGGTGGGGGGGATAAATTCGCAATTAATAATTTAAATCAATACGTGGTGGAACGAGTGCGGAACATTTGGGGCGGATATACCTCCCGTGGGTACAGTATGCCGTGGCTCGTATGCAGAATGCCAGAAGAGCGCGCGAGGGCGGAAAAGAGCGCGGATACCCCCGCCCCCCCTCCCCGAACGAACGTCGAATGCGCGAGACGATCCCTTGGGTCTTCCATCGGCATAAAAAGAATCACGGGGTCGTGGCCGTAGGTCAATCTAAAAGCGCACGTTGCGCGCGCGTGTGCGTGCATCCGCGTGTACGTGTATGTGATTGTGTGCGACCGACATTGACAAGCGCTTTTTGTCGCGCTATCAGTCGGTGCGATCGGTGGAGAGAGCGGCGGCGGGTGCTTCGTCCGCGATACGAGATCCCCCGTCGGAATGCATCAAGCCTCGCTCGAGTTTACTTTCCATATACAGAAATAATAGGCCGTGAAAATATCGCGGTGAAGAATCGCGCGCGCGCGTGTCGATCGTTATCGGATTAAAGATTGTTTCCATGGGATCGAAACAGTCCTGCAGCAACGTGAAAGGTGACGTTTGCGGAAATCAAGTTTCCTTCGCGGAAAATCCATGTAAGATCCTGTTATTCAGATCGAAGGGGGGCGGTGAGAGGGTCAAAATTGTTAATCTCTTCACAAACTACAGTCGTTTTCGGCAGCAAGCATCTGTTGCATCTTTCTAACAAAATAATAGACGACATGTACGATGTGCAATTTCGAAGAGTGGAAACTTATCAGATATTCGAAACTTCGAGATTACGCATACTTTCGAGAACTGGGAGAGTTCGGGTAGCGCGGAATCCTCGAAATCCTCGCCGCCAAATAACCGACAGAGCTGCTCCACGACGATTCTTTTTCCCGCTGCGAAACAGCCGCGCTGCGCGTTTATCAGTTCCATCTCTAACGGGTGCAGCTCCACGCTCGACGTAGGTGCGCTTGATGCGTAAAAAATAACGTCAGCCCCGTCACACCGGAAACAATTAACGCAGCGATCTCCGCGAGGATCGGTGGCTCGCGAGATATCATCCCCGTGATGGGCGCGACACGACCTCGCAAAAGGATAATTGGCGCGAGCCAACCACCCGCTCTCGCCCACGCTTGCAGCGTTGCAAAAACGCGAGCGGCGTGTTGCGGCGCTCTCTTGCTTAGACAATAAATCGCCATCGGGGCTCGTTCATGTCGGAGCTGGAAATCAAGCCGGAGACCGTGACCTGTGCACTCTGTTGTTGTCGCGCGCGAATGCCTCATTCGTTCGTTCGTTTGTACGGCTGACCGAACGGTCGATCGATCGATCAACCGATCGATCCTTGTCCGTCCTGTAAACGAACCCTCGGCGACAGGACGCGTCGACGGGAGGCGTTCCGCGGGCTACTACGCTCGCCGCGGCGCGGCCGCCGCGCGTTACCCTCGTGGAATGTATCATCATTACGCGGACCAGTTCGCTCCGTTAATTGCGACGAGAAAACGCGTGGTGTAATCACGTTTCCGAGCGGGCCGCGTCCCCAGCCGCGACATTGCAAAAATATTACGCGATAAAGGTTGATTTCACGGTCACGCGTGTCCTCCGTGTGTGTACACATATTTCCCTCGAGTGGCAGAGGGCAGGCTGGACGGCCCGTTGTCTGTATCCCCCCCTTCTCCGCGACGGCGACGTATGAACCGGCGGAATTTCATGACGCGGGTAATTTCTTTTTTTAAGAACCGCGTGATGCGCCGCGTCGCGTCGACGTGACCCCGAGTCGCGTTTCACCGCTGCGGCAAGGTGACATTGTGGGTGTTACATGAGGATGAATTATTCCCGTCGGAAGTAAATTGCGCTGATCTTGGATTACATCGGATTATATATGCGTGTTCCACGCACGTGCGTGCGTGTATGCACACAACACGTCGTCGCGACGGACTATCTAGCCTGCCCATCGACACGTATTTTCTCGGAGGACCACCACGATTAAACACGTATATCCCGCGCGCGCGCTTTCTCTCTCTCTCTCTTTTTTTTCCACGTATATATCTCGCCGATGGGAGAACGCAAACGGACGTCGAAAACTCGCTGACGACTGTTATTGCGAGTTTTGCGAACGCAACCTGTCTCGCTCGTTAGTCACACGACAGCGAACGATTCAGACGTCAAACGCGCGTGTTCTTCCATCCCCCCTCGATCCTCTTCCTTCCTCTGTCTATCTTTCTCTCTGTTTTTGTGTTGCAACAGTCGCCGTCGAAAATTGAGATTTCAGCGCGCCCATGTCGGCAAGTATAAGAGAGGAACACGCTTGATAAGCGCTCCCCCGTTTCCACCCCCTCCCCCCCCGCGTGATCGATTCTCTCCCCCCCCGAGCCATGAATGCGAACAGCTTCTTCACCGTCGAGTGAGTCCTTTCTCCGCGGCTACGGGGATACACGTGTGTCCCGTGGGTAGACACATCTGGTGTATCGCGGTCTGCGTATGGTTTCCGCAGCGCGGAGTCGAGATTGATCCGGGCACAATGCTGCGAACGGGACGCTCCAGATTCGAAAGTGCCCGTCTCTACGTCGAGACGTCTGCGCGTGATTGACGGCCGACAGTGCCACTCGAAACAGTCAAAACATTTCACCCCCGTGTCGCGTGCTGGGTCTGGCCTTGACGCTTCGCAGCGACGCCAATCATCATCCTTCCTGCGCGTACGCGCGCCCGCACCCGCGGATTCGCCGTTATCCGGGGAAATGCGGGGAGAATCGGCCGGATGGATACGCGTGTCCGCATCCTCCGCGTCGTCCTTCCCGTTGATACGCCTCCACCCGCACTCTCGCTCTCGCTCGCGGCAGGAGAGTATCGATGTTGTGGGTTGCCAGCCGAAGCGTCGCGTCGTCGTCCGGCGACGCGCAAGTGTGGGAAGTTGGCACCCCGGAGTGCGGACTTTTCGCGTAATGCACTTCGTAGCATTCGTTCTCATCCGCAAATCATTTCCTCCGGAAACGGAAATCTCGTCGCCGAGTAAAATATCGTCATGGCGCATCCTTGATCGTAAATGTGTAGTACGATTATTACAGCCGGGGAAAGCGTCTGTATGACGTTAATGATCTTACATGCGCGTCCCGCGACTTTCTGTTTTATCAGAACGACAGCGAAGATAATGCTGGCGCCGAGAAAAGTTATAATGTCGGAAAGATCGATTATTTCCATTCTTTCATATTATATTATTAGGATATAATTTGCAGAGAGAGAGAGAGAGAGAGAGAGAGATGACTATATAATTTCAATTATGATTTAATGAAGCCACAATCTCCGCAATCAACAAATTACTTGCAAACCGTATTACATCCTCAAAGGATCCGCGAATAATATCGGCAATACTCCTCATCGCGTTATTTCCCCTCGCTGCGCGCTACGACGACGTTTCTGCAAAGAACTCCTCCGCGAGGGGCACGCTACGTGAGCCTTTTATATTATCTCATCGAGACGCTGATCGTAGATCGAGGGAGGGAGGAAGGCACCTATTGCGACGGGAATAGCGCAGTACATCTTATCTAACATCCCGCGTCTCTCAGTCCATCTGAGGCCTTTGAGAGTCGAAACGGGACGGCTCACGAGCGGCTGGACGCTCGCTGAGACCGCGAGAGAGACTTGTCTCTCGCCGTATGGCCTCTTCTCGCGCTTCGAGGGGTGAACCAACCAAGCGGCCAGCCAGTTTTGTCGGTCGTTGCCGGTCGAAAGACTAACCGCGCAAGTAGATCCCGCGAGATAGCCGCGCGATGCGCCCCGGTGCGCGCGACTTAGCGTGATCGTAGATCGTCGATTATCGTCGGCAAGGCAAGGCGCACAATGCATTTGCGCTTTCGTGTGTTGCAGTCGCCGACTCAACAGGAGGTGCTCTCGGCCCTGAAGAGACGTCTGGAGCAGACCAGCGTACCGCTCTTCCCACGGCATCGCCTCCGCATGCTCTCCAAGCTGGCCGAGGGGGCGTTCGGAACGGTAATGACATTGTTATTGCGCCGGTGGAACGAATGCGTGTGCGTGTCTATATGTTTTCAATTAGACGCGCCGTGCCGAACAGGCGGCCCGACGCGGCGGCGTTACCGCTAATCGATCGCAGTTAGCGTCAGCGATATTTCAGCCGCGCGAAACGCGCCGGGAATAGCCTTCGCTCGCGATCAACCCGCGTTCGCTTTAGCGCCCGCGTTCGCGTTACTCAAATATATATTCCCGTTAAATCGCTCGAAGATCCATTACGACGAAAGATCGGGGGAGCGCACTCTCTCGTTAATTTGTCGGGCTTCGCGATTTGATTTCTTATTTTTTCTTTTTTTTTTTTTTTAGCACACTGACTGCCACCACATTTATTCCCTTACTGTGTTTCTGTACTTTCGGTAGTTTCGGTACGGTGGATAAATGCAAATCGCGATTCATCTATTCGCGTTAGCTCGTTTCATAGACCGCCTATATCGGCTATATGTATTTATACATATTTCATTTTTTTCTTTTTTAATTTATTTCGTTACACATTAATTTAGATTAATGTTCTGTACGTAAATTAGTGAGACACGGTGATATTATAACATCGACCCAGCAGTCAATGTGTTGATGGTGTACTTGCCGTGGAAAATTTGCCACCTGCCATCGGTAAATTTCGGGGACTCGCTTAGACCAAGACAGTTAAAGAAACAAACATCCTTTTTGCGGATAAATCTCTACCTTTACATATTATCTATAATATTAAATTATAGTTTAGCACTGAACTATATAACGTACTGGAATAAATATGGTTTCTGTCCAATAAACTCAAGACAAGAGAGTGTAAATAGTAGAGAGTATAAATTTGTATGTCTGTCTTTCACGTGCTATCTGCGCAAAATCAAAACTATTGCGCGTCGGCAAGGCAGATAGAAGTGTCATTTAAAGATGAAGAAAATACTGAATGAATTATCAAGATTTTTGATCGATTCTTGGGGGAGGAGTCGTCATGATATTTCATTTCTCATCTTATTTGTGCATTTATTAGATTTCGCAGTCGTAAAATCTTCCGTGAGCTCTCATCGGCTTCTGCGATCTATCTTGATTGATTATCTCGAGGCGATCCTCGTCTTACAATCGCCGCGGTATGCGACTGAGCCGGGCAAAATTCGCCATTCCAGTTCGTCATATAGTTGAATAGCGTTTAGTTCGACGGCTGACACAAAAGGCCGCGCGTCGCGTTTCGCTCCGAGGCGCGGAGCGCACTCTACTCCGCGATATGGCGCTACGTTAACAGGGGAATTCGGTTATACCGTTATAACAATTAATTTATCAATAGCACGCGAGCGCGCGTGCACGATCGCAGCTACATGTTCTCACGCGAATGCGCTCGTCCCGCGTTCGCCCGTTGAATGGACACGCAGGACGCGAACGCGCGCGCTCGTCCCCGTTTCCTCTGCTGCGTTGGGACGACGATCTCTCGCGAAATCAATCCGTTTGTTGGCCGCACGGCGCGCACCGGCAATTCAGGCCGCGCCGGATGCGCAACAATACGTCGATTAACGAAGTGCCCGGGGTGCGTTATTCTTCGGCGGCACAATGGCGCCTCGTCGGGGTCGTCGAGGATAATCAGTTTAGGATGCGTTAGAGCGGCTAATAATTCCCCTTTGTTTCCCGTCCGTTCCGTTCGTACCGCGACAGCGGCGCATCGTTAATGACGACGCCCGGCATCGCTGGAACGTTTGTTTCACTCGCTCGCTTGTCGCTCGCGAGGGAGATTACATCCCGCATGCACACACGCACTCGTGACTTCCCACGAAGCGTGCGATCGCACACGTCGATCTTCGAGCGCTCGCCGGCCGGTCGACATGCGAAATCGCGCGCGCGCGCGCGGCTGACGAATGAGGAAAAAAGGAAGCCGGCTTAGCCGCGCGCGTAATATCGCGCGATGCATACGACGGGACGATCGGTTATCTTCCGAGCCTGCTTCCGCGCTGCTTACGTACCGTCGCGGAATCCGCGGACTTCCGACGTCGCCCTGTCCCCGCGCGGAGCGAGTGTATTTTCACATGCCGCGAGTTAATGAAAAGAATATACTTCTTGATCTTTCTCCCTCTTTTTCTCTCCCGGTGTGTTACTTCAAGTGGATAAAATTGCGAGACGGCTGACCGAGCTCTCTTTCTTTCTCCATGCCGCTCTCTCTCTCTCTCTCTTTCTCTCTCCCTCTCTCTCTCTTTTTCTGGGCAATAACACGAGGGAAAAAGACGCGTGGAAAATTTCTTCGCTTATGTTTAATTAAATTTTATCGTGTCGCGCGCGCGAGGGATCCCTGCTTCTTAATTTCCAAGAATAAGACGTCGCGAGACGAGTTCGAGAAGTGAGCAATGAAGTCTGATCGCGCTCGAGATCCTTGGAACGGTCAATTTTCGCAATCGCGATTCGCAAGGCGTGATTAAAGAGATGTGTTGTGAAGAGAATTTTCGGCCATGTTTCTTTTGTTAATAGCAACTTGAGAAACACAACTATGTTCGATCAAAAGTATCCGCCAGTGTTATCCACCGCTTTCAGAAAAATTATCTAATTCCGCATGTGTAGAGTTTTTTACTTAACTTTACGGCAAACGACTCGTTTTTCGGGGCAGGAAAATCACGAGCGATTCGATTAACTTTCGCAAGCCGCTGATAACAAGATAAAAATGATCCCGTCGTAACATTACGTTATCACAACGTTATTGTTGCCGTCTGCGTATAATCAGACGAAACGCGACACGATGGATTATCGCCGACTGGCGCGTCAACGGCAAAATCGCGGCGAATCTGCGGAGTCGACTTTCACAGCGAATTTATTTATCTCCTCTCTCGGTGATGGCGGCGGTGGCGGTTGCTCCACGCATGTGGATACACGTGTGCACGCACGATTTAAACGAATTATGCTCATAAAGGTGTACGTGGCGGAAGCTGAAGGGATCCCAGAATACGGAACGACGGCCACCCTCGGCAAGCGACTCGTCGCCGTCAAGTTTTTACTGCCGGAAGCCAGCGAGAAGGAAAAGTGAGTATACACACGTCTATATGCCGCAATTTGCATTCTGTTTCGTTACGACAACGCTCGATTGACCGTGCATGTCTCATCTCTCTCTTCTTCCTCCAGAGGAGGAGGAACAGGAGGGCGAGGCATTCTCCACCCCCCACGTACGCGACGATAAACCTTTTACAACCACAGGGAGACGCGCGCTCTCGCCTATCCGACCGCGTTCGCGATTTTATGCGCCGTCCGGCTCTTACGTCGACCGACAGATCGCGAATTGTTGCTGCGCTTCCGTGAGCGCATCGCACGGAACCGAACGGCGATGAGGGATAAAACGCGATTTCCGCGGAGTACGCCGCGAGACAGAGAGCAGCGATCGATCGCGAAAGGCGAAGGTGGATGGAGATGTGTGCACACGTTCTCACTCGGCTAACCTTCTTCCCCGGGCGCTAAAGCGCGCGTGGCATATGGAAAAATGCAGGATCGTTAGAGAAAATTGAATGGAAAAATCGGCTGGATGCGAGCTGCAGGCGAATCGACCAGCCACGCCGAGTCGAGAATTAGCACGGTGTTGAATTAATCGCAAATTGGTATGCTAAGTTGATCATAAATTAATGTTCAATTAATCGCGAATTAATGTTGAATTAATCTCACGCTCTGCAGCGTTCTCGCATGCAGATCAATCGACTCACGCGAGCCTCCTCACGGCTTACGTTCACTTTTTCCTGCGGTTGCTTTTAGCCTCTGCGCGCGAGATTCGCCAAGTTGGCGACCCGAAATGCGGAGTTCACGCGGCACTCGTTCATTCGTGATTATTTGTTCGTAAATTTTCCGATCTAATTTTAATCTCATAAAAACGCGCACTTGGAGGTCTTACTTTGGCAGACCTCGTGAAGATAAGACTGTCGCGGTGACAAATAGCAAATTTGATGAGGCAATCGTTCCCGCTTCTGCGAATAACTGAAAAATAACGAATCAACGACGCCTACACGGCCGGAAAACTCAAAGAGCCTACTGTGCGCGTTAAAACTGCTTTGCCGATTGAAACGCCTTGCTACACATTCTATTTCTTTTTTCCGTCCCGGAAAAATTCGCGACCCGACCAGCCGAGTAGTTCCGGCCATTGGACAATTCGGCTGGCCCGGCCCGCCGTCTTCGTGGCCGCGATCCTCGTGGCTGCGAAGGAGGAGGAGAACGCGTCTCGCCATGAGATCGAAAACGAGATTCGGGCTACGAACGGGACAGAATGTACGCTCGCAAAAATGCGACAGCCGAAGAGGAGTGAGGGGAAGGCGAGGGCGGCTAAATTATGCGCGGCCGGCAGAGAAAGGGGGAGGGGAAATCGCAGCAACGTTTCTCCCGGCAACGAGATACATCGGATTTGAAGCAAGCAAGAGAGAGAGAGAGAGAGAGAGAGAGAGAAGGAGAAAGAGAGACGGGAAGAGTGGGTTTGTGATTCTGCCCAAGCGTGTTTCCCCGGGCGATGCGCGACGTCCCGCGTCGCGGCGTTCTCGCCGAGGAGAGGAAGCCCCGCGGCGGCGAAACGTCCGGATATACCGTTCTCGGACGATCGTTCGCGGCTATCGCGTCAGACATCAGAAAAAGGCCAGTTCGATTCCACGAATGGAACGGATTTGCATACAATGACCGGGAGAGATAGGGTATCGGGGATTCGGCTCTCTCTTTCTGTCTCTGTCTGTCTCTCTCTCTCTCTCTCTCTCTCTCTCTCTCTCTCTCTCTCTCTCTCTCTGCCGGCACTCTCGGAGAGAGCCGACGCGCGGGACGGGCGGGACACCTCGTAGCGGAGATGACAAAGCTTCCTTCCGACGAGCGGCGACGAAAATCGACGATCCGCCATTGAATAGTCGGCACCGGAGGACGCGCTCGCGCTCTCCTCTTCGCGTCTCGGGTCCGAGGAGAAATTTCGTCGACCGCCCCGCGCGGGTAATCTGTCGGACGTCTGGCAAGACGCGGGGCAGAATAGCGAGCGATTCGCTTGATTTAGCGTGCACCGGTGCGCCCGTCAGCGCGACGAATTGCGCCGCGACGCGATGCGACGTTCCGTGGCCGTGGTTGCCGATGTCGAGCAAAGACAAGAGTCCGGCGGAGTAATCAAGTTTTCGCATGATCGATTTGCGCATCCCGCTCGTTTCTCGAAGGTATTATTGATCGTCGAGCGTTCCTCGACTTCCGTTTGTTCTTCCACTGCTCAACTACGATCTGGATTGCCGCAAGTGTACGCTAAATAAATGCAATTTTCGTTTCTTTGCTTTGTTCGTTTGGTGCGTTTGGAAATTTCATTGAATCTCTCTCGTCTTAAACGATGTAAATTCACGCAGACATTTGCTGAAAATATTTGCCCTCGTGCACGGGATATATTTCGTGCGTTAATTGATGAAACGTAGCAACAATGTTATAACATTTATAATATTAAAACAACAATATAACGATATTATAACGCGTTGAGATTCTTCCATTTATTAATTTCTGGGTCTCAACTTTCGCCAAGGGAGCGCGCGCCTCTTCCTGCTGAAGTCGCGTGTATTTTAAAAGAAGCGCCGAGGGTGCGATAGACGGGTGCCCCTCCGGCGCCGGGAAACCTGGAGCCCCCGCGAGGACCGCGAGAACGCATCCACGCGGGAGCGAGGAGGAGAGGAAGTGGGAAAACAATCGCGCGGCTCTTTTCGCAATTCCGCAATCTCCCGGCGCGCGCAGCCCCGTGCCGTATTTTAGCCGACGCGCACGCCGAAAGATATCCGCGAGAGTCCGGCGCGTCTGTGTCTGTGAAATTAGCACGACGTTTGAAAAATTATTAAAAGACAATATTAGTTCCAGTAACATTTTTCATAGTTCTACAATTCCTGATAAAAATAAAAAAAGGTTCCGTATTCTTAATATCAAAAAATCGAAATTGAAAAAGAGTGCAGTAAGTCGACGGCATGACACATTTTCACCGAGCGTCGTGCTGGCGCCAAAGGTTAAAATTAATTTAAAAATAGTTATACGGCGGAACAATGACTGCAAATAGTTGAATTGTACGAAACTCGTAGTAGAACAAGTGCCGTCAAAAGTGCAGTAAGTCGACGGCATGACACACTTTCACCGAGTGTCGTGCTGGCGGCGAATATTTAAAATTGTACAAAATTGTTAATTGTTGGAATTTTGTTCTGAAATGTTCCATAGTTATAGAACCAGCCTAGAACTAACGGGCATTCTCGTCAAAAAGCGTATTATTCACCGGCTTCTTGTACTTTAGAGGAGACTGTGTCGCGCTGGAACGTGAAGTTAGCACATTTTTTCAATTTCAATTTTTTGGTATTAAGAATATGGAACTTTTTTTTATTTTTATCAGGAACTGTAAAACTATGAAAAATGCTACTGAAACTAACATTATTTTTTAATAATTTTTAAAACCTCGTGCTAACTTCACAGACATGGCGCGTCTGGCTCTCTCACGCAACAAGTCCCCTATTGCGCGACTGACTTATGGCGTCTCGTGACTGCAGACGTCGTCGAGAGAGACTCACCCTCGCCGCGAGCAGCAGCAGCTGCTCCACCGCCGCACAGCCCCTAACCGCACCCTTACGCGCGCGAGATACGAAAACGCGCAGACCGCTGTCCTTCGTCTCGGGGAACAAGCGGTGACACGGCTCGTTCGAGACTCGTTTTTCCGCGCGCGTAGAGGACGTTGATGTACGCCCTTTAAACTTTTGACAAACGCCCTTTAACCCTTTGCTGCATAGTGGTCCTTCCAGAGTGCCACCTATCATCCAAGCTTGTTTTTCCAATAATTTAAATAATTTAAATTCCAATAATTTAAATTTTTCATATATCTCTTTAGCATATTTGGTATTGTTGAACTACTAAAATGTTCCTCTAACTAATATACATCAACTTTTAGAGTCATTTCAAATAAGTAATTTATTATTAATAAGCATATACTGAACAAGACTGTCATTTTTAGAGAATAAATTCGTTTGTATGAAATTTTAAATAATAACGTACATTTCAGAGTCATTATCTTTAAAAACCTCCGAGTAACAAGTTTCAAGCGAATTCGATTGATTTTGAAAATTTCATCTGCCATATTGAATCCGCCACATTGAATTTTGTATTTTTCGCACTGGATTTGTAATCAGCGATCCTAAAAACCTCCGAGTAACAAGTTTCACAAAATTATATTCATTAGAGAAAAACAAAGGGTCAGGTGTTACATAATTATCTTACGATAATCGCGAAGCTCATTTGTGTGTTCAGCCCTATTTTAAAGCTGAACTTGCTTATTTTCTAATTGTCAAGCTGAAGCAACAACGTTGCACATAAGAAGAACAGAATTTGGAATTAGTCTTTTTCGACATGAGCGTCCACCATAATCTGCCGCCTAGCACTCATTGTTTCCATCGTTAATAGGGCGCCTTATTTTTGTAATAATCTTTGCCGTCAATAACAGTTTCTCGACATATATAATTATTTCATCGAAGGACGCTGCCTTCGCATGGCGGGTACTTGCCGTACCTACTTCGCTACGCGTATCGAATTACTGAATTCGACTCTTGAACGAATGACTCCTGAATTCGCTTCAACACCGACGCGTTCATCGCATGCACATCATTGTCCGAGCGCTCGCGCGTTTCGCGGGAATGTCCTCTTGGTGCGATTATAAATGAGAGTGGACATCGCATTGTATCGCAGGAGAGACTGTGTTGACGGCAGATAAGGCGTGTTTCATGCGTCACACGTCTGGTATCACGCTAGTCGTAGCGCTTCCGCAGACGCTTTATTATTAAAGATAACACGCCGTAGTCTCGCTCGAAACGCGCGGATGGATCGCTCCGTGTTATCAAAAGCGGAGCACCCACGTTGCCCGTCGCATCGTTTTATTGATTCTTCTGTTATTCGTAATGTTGCCGCTACGAACCTCAGCCGAAGACGCTTAAAATTCCGCGGGCGACGTCACGTGCGCGCTCGCGACGCCGTAAACGCCGTCATCGCGGAATCGGAAACGGTCGACCGCGTAACCGGCTGCTGATGCGGTGCGCGCGCGCGCGCGCGAGAGAGAGAGAGAGAGAAACGACGAGAGGGAGGCAATTGAACCGCGAATTGCGAACTTTCGGCTAATGTGACGTCATTAAGCCGCCTTAGGGCCAACGGCCTGGTTAAACGCTATTTTGCATATAACAATACAGTCCAACGACGGCCACGCACCTCTCCCTCTCTCCGTCACGTCGGATCTAGAAGTAGCGATAATCGCACGCACCGCAGCGCGCGAGATCCGCAATTTATGGTGAATCGATAGGCGACTACGGGCCGCCCCGTAGTTTTGTTAACGACCGCATTAAGCTATCACGCGCCGAGTGCCATTACCAAGTCGATCGTAAGTAAGTCCCGGAGTAACGGGCGCGTGCAGCTCGTGGAAACGCGATCCACCAGCCGGCCGGCCGGCCGGCCCGTGGTTGGCGAGTAGCGAGCTCTTGCGTTTCCCTTATCCGGAAGTACGGTCGCGATCCAACGAACCGGACGCCGCGCCGTTAACAACGTCCGTACGATCCTCGATGCCGGAATGTAGAAAGTGCAGCGCGATACGAGAGTCATTAACGCGAGATGGACGTCGATGACTCTCTCGGTCGGCGATATCGAATTTTACTCCCCGTCACCCTGATATTTCACACGTATCTCTTGCGCCCGCGTGTATCTCCTCTTTTTTTCTTTCTTTCTCTTCTTGTTAGAGTAGATTGTCATTGTCGTTGACACTCGTGGAGTGCCGCGGCGATGTGACACTGTGATACCACCTCTCGTGTGTCTCGTTAAATCATACATGAGGTATGATCGTTTGGGAAAAATCGGCCGTACTCGGCCGTACTCGGTGGAGAGAGTCGACAGACTGAGAGATGCATGCGACTTGCATGCGACTTATTCGCCGTGGCTTTGGTCGCTTAATCATCGCTTGAATTTTTGTACCAGCGCATCTCATTCACTCATTGATATGAGATATTAGTCAACTGCATAGTCAAAATCAAGCGGTGAAAGATGATAAGTCATCTTTTAGTCTGGGACGTCATCTACTTATCGTGTTTTCGGTAATTCGATCATTAGGAGGAGCTTTCGTACAATCAAGGAAAACAGACGCAGTAACGAGACGCGCAATATTTGGTCAGCCGTCATCATCATAATAACGTAACATAATAAATCCCGTCGCGACGGTGACGATGGGGGGTGAAAGGTTAAAATGCGACCAGAGTGCGGTCGGTTTGGGACAATAGTCGCGAAATCTTGGCGCGATCGTAATATGCTGATTGCGAACATTCGACTCGACTTACCAAGCAACGACATGGCTGATCCCGAACAGGTTGGACTTCCAAAGGGACGTGAGGATCTTGGCCGCTCTGGAAGATCGCAATATCGCACGGGTCCTGGGTGCCTGTTACCGCGAGGAGCCGTATTGCGTGGTGATGGAATACCTGGAACACGGGGATCTCTGTCAGTTCCTCAAGACGCATATCACTGCCGAGGACGCGCATTCCATGCCGATTGGCGTCAAGACACTTAGGTGAGTTCAGTCGGCGACGCGGCTTGACGCGCTAATCCTCAACGCAAATTAATGCGGGTGAGCTCTCTCATTACGGTTAATTTCCCTCTTTTTCCTTGCCGCTCTCTTTCGGAAAACTCCTTCAAAATGATTATTTCGACGCTAATGAGTGCTCATTAATAATTATCTCCGATCTTCGACGAGAGAGGAAAAATCAAGAGCGCGCGGGAGAAGGGGAAAGAGAGAACTGATGGGAGTTTGAAAATCATTAAACTCTTCCGATGTTTGTGTCCCTTTGATGCGATATACAACCGATATTGCCTCCAATTATTTTTCTGCTGACTTGTTATTTCATTGATGGAGCGACCTGGGCACTGTTTATTAAAACATTCGCTGTCGTTCTATTTTTTTCCGAAAAAATGGCACGCGCGCAGGATGTTCCGTGTAACTACCGCGCCGCGGAAATTGAACGTTTCCAAATAAAAGCATACAGTATCTTCAAAAAATATCAAATTGGAGTACCTTTCGCAAATAAAACCGGCAAAAAGCCATCGTGCTACGTATAGCGCGCGCGGCCGTGTATAAGTTGGAAATCGATATTACCGGCGCGGAAAATGCACTTGGATAACGCGATATGAAAATGCTCGTTCTTCGCGCGAGATCGACTGGATGTTATTCACGGCGACGACGGCGATTAGTCCTCTTCCCGTTCCTCTTTCGCTTCCTTTCTCTCTCACGAGCGTCGGAGTTCTCGAGAAATCCGCGATCCTGTATTTACGGTAATTACCGGAGCGCTGATAGGTATTATAAATTCGAGTTCGCGCACGTTCCCAGATTTCTTCGCAGCAGCAAAAAGACCGTACGCTCTCGAAGATAATCCACCGCCGGTGCTTTCTTCGCGTCGGACTTTTTAATTTCGCACGTTAAAACCGTCTATATTTCACTCAGAAGCCTCAGAAAAATACAGAAACGTTCGCGATCGATTCACACCGCGATCTTAACGTCCAAATTTACGTCGTTTAATGTACATTTAATATGCATACGAATTATGCAGAATGAAATTAAAGCGTTAAGACTGTTAGCTTTTCGTCGAAATTTCGTCGGTGACACATTGACGATCGACCGACTCGGTCGAGGAAATTCGTATTTCACCGAACGTTATCGACATCGTATTTTCTCTCAACACTTGAACGAAAAATATTAAAATATATCGCAAGAATTTACATCAAGCTCGATCGAGCTAGCACTTCCGGTACGACGGCAGACGACACGTTATTACGTTGTGTCTCGCTTGAGAACATAAAGCTGGGGCGATGAACAATTTTATTCAGAAGCGTGAAGTATCGCTTCGAAACTCGATGTAACAGCGCCGTCACTCTGTTACAAGTCCATCGCGATCCTTTTACGAGAAAAAGGGAGAGAAGGATGGAGAGAGAGAGAGAGAGAGAGAGAGAGAGAGAGAGAGAGAGAGAGAGAGAGAGAGAGAGAGACAGAGATAAAGAGCAAGGGAGGACAGCGGTAACCGCGGTATCGGTCTTACGAGCTCGAGAGAGGAAAAAACAGAGAAGCTGAACTATTCATCAAGTCGAGGTTATCCGCCACGATCTCTCCGCGGAATGTTGATGTGCCAACGATGCAGGTGCGTCTGTCTGTCTGTCTGTCTGCACGTAGGTACGTCGGAATACGTATTGCAATACGCAGCAATGTTACTGGAACTTAAAGTATTCGAGATTACAAGGCCGCCGTAGAACAGCAATCGTCTCTAACGAGCCTGGGCTCCGGTTTCATTTCCGACGAAGCGCCGTCGCGAATCGGGTAGTTAACACGCAATAAGTTTCTTCGGGGCGCGAGTTTGACGCGTTTATTAATTGTGAGCGACGCGGCTGAAGCCCATAGCCGCCGCTCCGATTCTCTCTATATCTGTGTTTCTCTCTCTCTCTCTCTCTCTCTCTCTCTCTCTCTCTCTCTCTCTTTCTCTCTCTCGTTCTCTCGTTCTCTCGCTCGCTCGCTCGGAGATCTCGAGCCGCACCTGCCGGGCGCTGAAATCCCCCGCTGACTCTCGACGACGATGACGACGAGGGTCGGGTCGGGTGGGATTCTCGCGACTGCGAATACCTTAACTTTCGTCGCAGGCTAACTCTCACGCCACTTCCGTCGTCGTTTCAGTTTCAACTGTCTCATCTACATGGCAGCACAGATCGCGTCGGGCATGCGGTATCTGGAGAACCTGAACTTCGTTCATCGGGATCTGGCTACTAGGTGAGTAACATCGGGACTTCTCTCCCCACGAAACAAATCCGCCGGATTCGCTGCTCTCATCTCCCGAGGATAAACTTACATCCGGCCGGAGCACAGCGCGCTTTAGCCAGCTAGCCTTTAGCTAGCAGCGGCGGCAGCTCACCTCCAGTTTGACGAGGCGAAACCTCGGCGCCCGCTTCGTGGCTAAACGTTCGAGTTTCGCGCCAAGTTTAAGCAGCGACGCGATCCGCAGCGCCTTGAACGAAAATCGAACTTGCAAAGCTCGACGGACGGCAGCGAGCGGCTGAACGCACATTGTTCATTCTCGTCGGTGCGTCGCACAGTGGACCGAAACGCTAAAATCGGTGGACATAGACTAAAAAATAAAGTTGCGATTTGTAATTCAAAACTATAATAAATATATTATAGAAAGATTAAATTAAAAGTTTTTATATCGATTATGACACTTTCATTAATACTTTCTGTATTTATCATTAATCAAACGTCGACAATTTCGAGATTCGAAAATTACTGATAAAGTGTTACGTATGTTTATCTTAAGATTATTCAATGAAACTTTTATTTATAACTTTAGTTACTTATATACTTTCAATATGACATATTTGATCTTCACTTTGTACATAAGACTTCATATATATATATATATATAAAACTTTTATGCTTTTTTATCTAAACGTAAAATTATGTCCTATAATCGAAACTTTCTCGAAGTGTATAAAAAATTGTTCACATTTGTTTAACTAACGCAAGGATAGATATTATTCTATGACACTTTTACTTTATATATCCGTCAAAATTGGTTGCTAATAGGTGCTAATTCATCAGATATATCTCTTTATACTTTTGTAGTGCTCTATAAGTCATTGTAATTTTGACGGATACCTCGAGTAAAAGTGTCATAGAATAATATCTATCTTAGTATTAGTTAGCCAAACACAGTCAATTTTTTATACTTTTTATACTTTTTACAATTTTTTATACTTTTCAAGTACAATGTTTATATAATTTTCTAATTTGTTTTTTTATTAATTTCCGATATTTAGTTATTTTAGTTAGTTTCGTCACATAGTTTAATCACATAGTTTAGTTATTTTAGTTTAGTTATTTAGTTAATAAATATTGTTGTTTAACTTTAATAAAGGTTTATAGATAAATTTTCATAAAATTATTTTGTACATAATTTGTCTACATATTATTATGTCTAAAAAGTATAATACTTATGAATATTACATTGCTATCATGAAAAAAGTGTCATGTCCACTGATTCTACAGTTTCGGTCCACTGTGCGTCGTGCTGATCAAAATGGGACTATCCGTTGCGTGCACCTCATTTCCTTGTCGCATGTGTGCAGTTTCGGAAACATCGTCTTCTGCTCTTAACTGTCTTTCATTGTTTTGTCTTCCGCCTATTCTCTTCGCGAAGACCCGCTGTCTCGAAAAGATTACGCAGCGAGGTTCGTAGAGTGGGATAATTTTCCAAAATATCTAAATTTCGAGATCGGGACATCGAAAGAATCCGAGGTATTCGAAGCATGCGATCGAGCTGATTTACCGAAAGATTATTATCATTTCGGGAAAATTGCACTTTTCTTTTACATTGTCTCGTTGCGATCGCTTCTGTATCACAATTTTTCGAGAGAGCCTCACTCTTCGATTTCGAGACCCCAGTTTTTCAGAGGAAATGTCTATTCTATTTGTTCTTCTCTTATTTCTTTTTTCTTTTTTATATATAATATGTCTAAAATACGGATGAACACGAAATAGCTCACTGAGAGCTTCGTAAAGCATAAAAATTTCATTATCTCCGTGTGTTCCTCCGCGTGTTCTTAACTCGTACACAATTCTCAGATCAGACGAGGATTGAGCAATGCATCACAACGGCGCGAATACGGCAGCTTTGTTGTCGAGTTTCTCACACGCGAGAGCGCGCTGATGCGTGCCGACGGGACGTAAGATCAGACACGCTGCACAAGGAGTGAATCTTGCCGGTCGACGCGCAGAACAGCGGCACGACGAGAGAATTACTACGCCCCCGCTGTGTGCGCCGGCAACAATACCGCCGCAGCAAGTTATAATCCCCGGCCGCGGCCGAGGGATGATACCCTGTCGCGCGGAACAGCTTGAAAAACGCAATTTCTCGCGGCGCGATTTATCGAAAAGTAATTTCGAAAGCGGGCCGGAGACGCGCCGCGACGCACCGCGGCGCAACACTCTAGTGTCGCTACGTGGTTTTTTACGTTATTGCGGAAAGGATAAATGGATCCGACGCGTGCTCTCCCTTGATTTATCTGCCGACGTAAACTCACTCATTCGTCGCGGACGCGTTTCTGCTTCCCCTTTCTCTCCCGTTCTCTCTCCCTCTCTCTCTCTCTCTCTTCCTCTTTCCCGCTTCATCAACCGGCGATTGCTCTATCGACTTTAAATCGCCCTGCGAATCGGGATTATCCTTCAACGGACGCCGCCCTCCGATCTCGCCGTCGCTCGGATCGTGCGGTCCACTTTAATTGGCACAGTCTAATAACTGACAGAGATGTTGTCTCTCTCTCTCTCTCTCTCTCTCTCCCTCTCTCTCTCTCTCCCCCTCTCTCTCTCTCTCTCTCTCTCTCTCTCTCTCTCTCTCTCTCTCTCTCTCTCTCTCTCTCTCTCTGTGTCGAGGCGTGCGGTCGCACTCGGGAACGCGTACGCTCGAAGAGGGTGAATTTTACCGCGCTCGGAGAGCAAGAGCGAACGAGCCCGGCGCGCCCGTTAAAACGGGACGGGGGCCACCGATATCGATTCCCCCCGCCATCTCCCCCGTCAGTGTTACACTCTCTCAGGATGAAATTGAATTATACCATCCCCGCGGTGCATCTCCATAAGCCCCAAAACAAACGGAGGCCGGGAACCGCATGGGAAATCAACGATTTGTTAGTGAATCGTCGCGAGGAATGCAGCGAGAGGAGCAAGCAGCTAGTTGTGCCGCGTTGAATGATGCGCGCCGCGCTGCGGCTTTGGTGTATCGGCGGCGGGAAATTTCAGCGTGTTCCTTTTCTATCTCTTTCTCTTTCTCCCTTTCTTCGCCCTTTTTACCCTTCTTTTTATCAGCTCGTACCCAATCGTCGTAACTATCTGGATCAGCTTCTGCCATTGTGTTCTTCCGCGCTCGCGCGCGCGCGCGGCCACCGATCGCAAAGTGATTTCTCCGAGTTTTTCGCAGGAGCGACCCCGCAGCGAGCGAACGGTCGCTCGTGTTGGCGCGCGCGACCCCGAGAGCGCACAATGGGCGCCTTCCTCAATCCGACGTAATGGCCTAATATTCGTCACATTCGGCGATTGATTTCCCTTTCGGGACGCTCCCATTTCGCGCGCGTTATCGACGTTCATCGCGCGATTGCCAGGCGACTTCGGCTCGAGAGATATTTGGCTTTCGCCGAATATTTTAATATCGAAACTCGTCGACGAGGATATTTATTCGCCCCCATCCCTTCTCTCGCGTTCTCTGGGATTTTTCATCGATCGCGCGGATGCGACTGCGGACATAAATGCTGATAAAGCTGAAGATAATAAAAGCGCGAATAAAAGCGCGCGCGCGCATTTCGTCGCTATTTGAGCAAGAGAGGGTGTTAATTGACTCCGAGATATCAAGAGTGTCGCTAATCGCGCCTGCAACATTGAAAGAGATGCTAGAGTAACTCCACGTTACACAGAGAAAAGAAATAAAGAGAGATTTTACTGATAAATTTGACTTTTCTTTCGTAACACGGAATAACCTCTCGATTCATTAACATTTGCGCTTTCGCCGTGTAAAAGCATCTTGCAATTCTACGTATCTAAATAGAAAACACTGCAAGCTGCATTGTGTTGATATTCCTTCCCCTCTCCCCCGTCCTCCAGTCCCAGCATCCTCTTAAAGATTCTATATACTCTTAACGCCACGCTCGTACAGCTATAAACCTCCATAATGATCCTCGCAAGCCACATAACGTATACGGTAGCCGCTACAGATGACCGCCGGGCCACGAATACAAAGTACACCCCGTATATGGAACGAAGTCCATCTATGCGCCTGTTATTGAAATGCAATGGCCATCTCGCCGAATCGATAGGACGTTTAGATGCACATATGTGCATATATGTATATCTTTCATAAAAACACATGCGCACGCACACCACACTACACTACACTACACCCACGCTCGTGCGCCCTCGCACACTCGCGTATAAACCACCGGAGCTCTCGTAGCACGTGGGACCTAGTTTCCGGTTGGACAGTGTCTCTCAAACAGCCGCTCGTAAATCTCCACGCTATTCTGCGACGGAGAAGAAAGAAAGAAAAGGAAATAGGAGCAGGGGGAGAGAGAGAGTGAGAGAGAGAGAGAGAGAGAGAGAGAGAGAGAGAGAGAGAGAGAGAGAGAGAGAGAGAGAGAGAGAGAGACACTTTTCTACGGGGACGATATCAGATGCCGTCAGCATTTCTAAGGGCTTTTGACACGGTTTGACCCGTCGATTGCAGGAATGCTATTCCGCGAAAGTATTCACCGGAACTCTACTTCCGCGTCACTCTTGTCCCCCCTCTCCTCTCTCTCTCTCTCTCTCTCTCTCTCTCTCTCTCATTGTCCCTCTCCCCGCTAACCGCGATTGATCGCCGCGTACAATTAGATCAATAAAACGCTGACTCGGATGAAAAGCCGGGCCGTTTGATACAAGGGACGAAGGGCAGGTGGCAGAGTGGGCAGGCGATTGAAATTCCGCGGTCGTTACGGAATTCTTACGAAATTCATTTGATGAATCGCGTCGCGATGTGCGCTTTGATTGCAATCAGTGCCTGCGCGCGCACGCTTATGTAATACGCGACGATTGAGAGCTACTGCGCTGGCATCGAAACAAGATATCTAATTTGCTCGCTGCTCGCATTTCCACGGCGAAAACGTTGTCGCGCTGCAAATTTAGAAATACTTTCGAGGTCGTCCGAGAGAATGGGGAGGAAAAGAGAAAGAGAGTAAGGGAGAGGGAAAAAGTGA